GTGTGGAGTCTTGTCTCATTCTGGTTTCTTACCATCTGAGTTCCCTGAGTTGCAACACTAACCAGACACTGGCCAAGGTGGCTGAAAGTCAGTGTGACAGCTTCAGGGGTCGATGAGGACGACGGCTGATGAGAGTGCACGCACCATCGACAACCTTCAGCAGGCTTACATTTTAAGCCGACAACATGAGTCTTTCAGTGAGAACAACGTGTCGTCTTCGGTAGTTACTTGAACTGCGCTTCACTTCTAACAAACCGTTACTCAGCAACATGTTTGTTTGCTCAGGAATAAATTAGACTGAGATCAGAGATATTTGTTAAACACATATTTCACATGATTTCATTATAATGATTGAAAACGATCAACATTTTACATGTTCAAGCTTAATCAAATAAAACAAACTTCGTTAATGATTTTTTTTCTTTAAAACATAAGGGAAAAGGGCAAACGATGGTCAGACTGTAGCTGACTCTGACTCCAAGTACAGTGACTGTGAAAACATCAGACATTATTCAAGTTAAAAGTAACTTTAATGAAAACAGTTCATGGTGAGTCTGGAAGACAACCTAGAGGTCAGAGGTCAGAGGTCAGAGTCAGGGGAGCCCATCTTCATGCTACACTCTTTGAGTATTTGTAGCTCATCAGTTTGAATTTTGATTAAGTCCAGTTTCACTTGTTTCTGATTTGTTTTCCAAAGTGATTCTTTTTTGTCTCCTATGGTTCCACTTTGGCCCAAACAGTACCCGATGGTGCGATCTGACACTGACGTACCGTCATCTCAGAGTCCACCTCTGATCTTTTAGTTGTTCTAGGCTCCTTGGTTGGTATTATCTGTCTCAGTTTGTCAGTTTTCCTCTTGTTGATGCGTTCAAGGAGGTTGTCTTCAGCCCTGTGGACATTTTTGAATAATCTATGCAGCTGTGGTCACAGGAACATGAAACTGCTTAGAGATGGTCTTATAGTCTTTAACTTGAACAGGTTTATCAATTTTCTTTCTGAGCTTCTGAGAAAATTCTGTCCTTAGCTTTTCTTTGAAGTGGCCTTTTTTTTTTTTTAAACCAACAAACTTGTCCAGGTCTGTAAACTCAACCGGTGAACAATCTAACTACATTTTTCCAACACTGAATTTAAATCCTGATCGATTTCCAGAGATGTTAGCTGGCAGACACTCGCGTACATCTCTTGGCTACTTTTATTCAGTTTTAGATAAGATGGATTATAAGATTTTACCAGAACAAAGTTTAAAACAGCTTTTATCTTTGCCTTTAAAAACAATTGATGAACACTGTGACAAGATAATATATTTGACAAAACTCCCCCTCTTGATTTTCAGCATTCTGCAATAAATAAAATGAAATAACATCCCAGTTAATCTTTAATACAATCAAAGTGTAATTTGCAACTAAAGACCTGCAGCTGGTTTTGAATTTAACATGTTTAAACTGTGACATTAAACCGAGGGTGAAAAAAAAGGTTTCAGTTTGTGGAGAAGCCTGATAAAGAAAAGGAAGGAAATGAAACTTGATGCACACGCACAAAAGAAAGAAAATAAAGTCTGCACATGAACTCATTTTCCTGTAATTTATAAAAGGCTTTTTACTCTGGGAAGAGTTTTGCAAAAGAAATCAGTCCATGCAGTGTCTGTTCGCTCACATTTCAGTGCATCTGTCAAGAAAAAGCTCTTCAGAGATTATTGCATAAAAATGTCAGCTCTAAGCAGACAGATGTCATGATAACTTCACGCCCTTTACATCTAATTTCAGCCTTTTATCCAAAAGGAGTCAGACAAGGCAGAGGAATTAAATCATTTCATGACCTCTAAACAGTTTTGAGTAATTATACATTATACAAAAACATATAATGACAAAATGTAACCTTTTCAAAAGACGTTACTTTCCTTTCATCCAACAAAAACTAATTTCGGGCAGAAAATAAAATGCTTGATGGCTCAGTTCTGAGGCGGCAGATCCTTTAGACAAGCAATCTGCCTTGAAACGTTGGGCCCTCGAGGCGGTGCACTCAGCTTATCAACATGATTCATCTTCTTGATAACTTGTTGAGTATTTGGGCCCTGAGCTGTGTCTGAAGGCTGAGACCTGCTGCTGCTGGAGCACAGCACAGAGGGGGATAATTCTCATTTATACTTATTATTCAGGATATTTTTCTGCAGAGGTTCATTGAATGAAATGGTGCACTAGTGCAGAAAGACACAGTTTACTGTACGCTCATGGGCCACTTTATTAGGAACACCTTGGGTAGTACTGGGTGGACCCCTGTTTTTAACCTTCAGAACTGCCTTAACTCAGGTCAAGGTAAAGGTTCTTTATTGTCATTCACATCGCATGCGGTACATGTGGTGGAATGAAACTGTGTTCATAGGGTCCCAGTTACATCCGACAAAAGTATAAATTGTAAAAGAAAAACATCAATAAGATCTAAGATATGAACTAAGAAATATGCTAAACTATGAATACAGTGAGCACTAATAGTACAGAAACAATACGCTGAACAACAGCAGCACGAACATGTGTGAGCAGATGAGTACGAATAATACAGCAGCGTGAAATAATCAACAACAATCAAACAATCAGTGGCATTACAGTGATTTTTTTTCTTTACACAGTGATTACTCTGGTTAGAGATTCATGAGTCTAACAGCCTCAGGGTAGAAGCTGTTCCTCAGTCTAGTGGTTCTACACTTAATGCTCCTCAACCTCCTGCCAGAGGGAGCGGGGCAAAAAGTGTCATACTGGGTGAGTGTGGTCCTTCATGATGCAGGTGGCCCTCTTCCTGCATCTGGAGGTGTAAATGTCTGTGATGGTGGGGAGGCTGACTCCAACAGTCTTCTGTGCGGCATGTTGATTCTGGAGCACAGGATGCTCTACACAGCACACCTGTAGAAGGAGGTGAGGACTGAGCTTCCCAGACCAGCTCGTCTCAGCCGCCTGAGGAAGTAGAGTCTCTGATGAGCTTTCTTGATCAGGCTGGTGGTGTTGTTGTCCCAGCTCAGGTTGTTGCTCAGATGGTCGCTCAGAGGTTACCAACAAAATTTAAGAGGCCAAAGTTTTCTTAGCAAACTGTGCAACCTCTGATAAGGATTAAATAAATAAATACACAAGAAGATGGAAGACTTGGGCCCAATTTTAGTAATGTATTATGTCATGTAAAGATTTTTGACTCCATCCATCCATCATTTTTACCCGCTTCTTCCTTTTCAGGTTAAGGGGGTCACTGGTGCCCCTATCCAACAATCACTGTGTGAGAGACAGGGGACACTCTGGACATGTCCATCACAGGGACACATCATAGGTCTCACACTCACACCTACAATTTATAGTTACCAATCAGCCTAAAATGTATGTTTTTGGTCTGTGGGAGGAAACCGCTCAAAGAAAACTCACACATGCACGAAGAGAACACGCAAACTCCACCCAGAAAGACTCACAGCCGGGATTTGATCCAGCGACCTTCTCACTGAAAGGCAACAGCTCCATCACCTGAGCCACCATGTCGCTTTTCTGACTCGTCCTTCAAAATTATTTGAATGGAAAACAGGTTCCCATAACTGAGATTTACATAAAAAGGAGTCCATAAAAACACAATTTAGTAATCCTAGCAAATAAAATAAAATGTAATCTTCTTAATCTACCTTTAAATGAAAGTCTTCATAGTGTTATGCCTCAAAAATAATCCTTTGTCTTGTAATCCTTATAATTTCCTTTGACATGGACAAATTTTCGCAGCTTACTGTCACAGCAACAGGAAATCCCTTCGTATAATGTTTGGCAACATTGCAAAGCTTTATTATGAAGCTTTGTTTGTTTGTTTGTTTGTTTGTTTGTTTAAAGGATGAATTCTTAGTTCCAGAACAATACAATGTTCGAACCAGGACACTCATAAACAAAACTAGCTTGTTGCCAGATCGGGTGATAAATTGCTAAGCTTGAAGTTTTTGAGATGGAGTATTTGAAAATAAAAATAACGTGATATTAAAATCTTTTCACTGTGATTCATTATGCCAGCACGAGTCTGTAACCACCATCTTTTTACATTATTATCTATTTGTTGCTAACAAGGTTTTTAAACTAAATGGAAGGTTGCTGCGTGTCCTCATCAATCTTCTCAATAATGAAGCAGCTCATTGTTGTTTTGGCTTTTAAAGCCTTCGGCTGGGTGGTTGCACAGACTGTATGTCATCACTGCATCACATCCTCGAGCCACAAAGTCACATAACCTTTGCACATGTCAGCTGTTCCAGCTCTGTTATATCTCTCTTCTTGTCAGGGTTATCAAGGTTGGTTTAAACCCCTCCGTGTTGCCAAGGTCTATTCCAAAATTTTACTGAATTGGTGGTGGTGGGTGTGTGTGTGTGTGTGGGGTGGTGGTGGTGGTGGGGGGGGTAAATCTCTGTTTAGTCATTAAAGTAAATATTCTGTATATTCCAGCTGTTGAAGACAGAATAAGTGAAGCTCTGTAAAACCTGCAGCTGTGATGACTCACCATTAGCCGACCACACGTGGCCCGCTGGTCGCCAGTTGCTGACCACCACATGTCCACAGAATTGTGAGTCCTGGTGCGCTGCGGGCTGACTGGAGGCTGAGGCCAATTGATGCTGCTCTCCTCTGACAACACGTGGCCGATTAATGAAGCTGCGCGTGCACTTGACTTAGGAACCCGGAGGTTGTCTCTCTCTCTCTCTCTCTCTCTCTCTCTCTCTCTCTCTCTCTCTCT